ACCAAAATTGTTAAATCAATAAAGAATCAAATACCCATTTTGAACTTTCTAGAGAGATAGTTAATTTATTCTGTCAGGCATTTCAGTAAATCGATTTTGTGAATCATTACTGTGAAATATGAATAATTCTATAATGATAAGTGTCATTCAATATTAATAAGTATCCAGTTAACATGAGTTTACCTGATTTTGATATAAAGATAAAATGAAACAAGGAGAATAGTAGAATAGAGAAAATTTATAGGGAATTTGATACACAAAACACTTGGTCAAACGTAAGATAAATAATGTTCCGTCACTTTTGATAAATGCTTCAGTAAATAAACCCTGACTACATGTGTATTCCAAACATGGTTTTGCGGTGAGTTCTTCTTAAAAAAAGTAAACAATGTAATGTTTATGTGTTATCAGTGTAATCAACAAACAAGAGGAAATGTCGGCAATATGAACCGTTTAAGGACACAAGACAAATCACTCAACTACACGGGGATAGCTAGTGTACGCCAGTGGAGACGAAACTGGTTAGTCTGTGTAAATCGGAAAGTGAATAAGCGTTTCAAAAAGTTGACTTAAGGGCCATGATTTCTAAAACTTTTATTTATAAAAGTCAACAAATATCTAATAAGTTCTAGGCTCTGTAGTCACATGGAAAAATAATTTTGGAGATTCATTGATAATTATATATGACATGATTGATCAAATACCGACTCCAGTGGCATGATCTATATAACTTTGTACAAGAGTACAAGGCAGTTCTAATATATGCTAATGGTTGCAGATATGTGCCTTTAGATTCAAAGATAATGGTATTAAAATGTCCAATAAGCATTTTTTTTACAAAAGCTACATACTGTTTTTATATGTATAAAACTAAACATGCACAGTGACAACTCCAGGACAAGTGAATCATACATTACTTAACAGCTTAACTCTAGGTTTTGTAGTACCTGACAAAATTTTCAACACACTTTACACCATATAATGTGTCATACATCGTCGGATACCCACGGCCGAACCATTAACATTTATCAATTTATTGATTGCATGTTATGTGACATGTTTATCAATCGTGGGTATCCGACGATGTGTGTCATATTGAAATATATTATACTTGCATTTATACCAAACTTTTAAACTTAAAAATTCTATCCCATTTATCGATGCTTTTATAAATAATTACCCCTATACATGTATACAGATTATATATATATATAAATATATATACTATACTACAGTGTACACGACACTTCCACACAACCAAAAATAGTGAATTCTTCTTTAACTTGATACTAATCTCATTAATAGAACAACTGTTCATAAAGCTTAAAGACTAAATGTCTCTGACTGGCATACAAAATGCTTAATGACTAAACTTGACCAAAGTGACTAGCCTTTGCCAGGCCAGCCTTCATATCTGTGCAGTCTGACTAGACATACTGTTGGCAACTCCTTTGTTCAACTTTACTTTTGATTTTTTTCTAAACTTTAAATGTAAAGCTGGGCAAATCCATTACATAATTTCAGCAGGATCCAGATTAATGTATAATAATAGAAGATAAACACAGATGCTGTAAAAAATTTATTTCACATCTCATAAACAGTGCAGGTGACATAATTATAAACATGTATAATGCCTTACAAGTTTATGGTATGGTGTTGGATTTTTTTGTAAATGTTCGAAAAAAATGAAAAAATATTAAGTTGAAGAAAGAACAAAAATCAAATTCTACATGATTTTAATGGTTATAGTAAATATATGTGTGAAAATGAACTTGCTTTTTTACAACTACATAATGAACAGAATCATAACTTTTCATTACAAAATAAAAAGTCATCAAATTCAAACCTTCATGATCAAGACTTTGTTAAAATATTCAACATATAGCTTACAATATTTTGATTAATTCAATAAAAATTGTCTGTAAATTTTGATACCTGAAGCTAAGACAAGAGCGATCATGATGGCCAATTTCATGTTGGGACAAATTTTGTGACAGACGGACAGACAGACAGACAGTGCACAACTAGACTTGGTACTGATCATTCCTGTAAAGTTTGGATAAAATTTCACCAGTAGTCCGGACAAGCTTTTGCGTATCTGGCAACACACAGAAAAACTAGAAATGTGTCCATAGGACACGGGTGCCCCCACCGCGCCACTGTTCTGTCAATCTTTTTACTAATTCAAGGGAAATAACTCTACAAATACTGGATAAATCCACAAGCAAAACCCCAGGTGCAAATCTAAAATATGCTGAGCAACCTGCCCATAAGGTTTAATGACTATGTCAAATCCTTTTTGAGAAACTTGCGACACAAGTTGAAAATTGCAAAAATTTAAGTGAAGGGCAATAACTCTAAAAATACTCAATAAATCCAGACGAAAATACCTGGTGCACAACTACAGATGCTGATCAACATTCCTGTAAAGTTTCATGACTCTAGGTCAAATACTTTTGAGTTACGTGCGACACATGTTGAAAATTGCCAAATTTTACTAACTCAAGGGCAATAACTCTGAAAATACTAACGATATCTAGAAGAAAATACCCAGGTGCACAACTACACATGCTGATCAACATTCCTGTAAAGTTTCATGACTCTAGGTGAAATACTTTTTGAGTTACTTGCGACACAAGTTGAAAATTGCAAAATTTTACTAAGTCAAGGGCAATAACTCTGAAAATACTAAAAATATCCAGACGAAAATACCCATGTGCACAACTACACATGCTGATCAACATTCCTGTAAAGTTTCATGACTCTAGGTCAAATACTTTTTGAGTTACGTGCGACACAAGTTGAAAATTGCAAAATTTTACTAAGTCAAGGGCAATAACTCTGAAAATACTAAAAATATCCTGACGAAAATACCCAGGTGCACAACTACACATGCTGATCAACATTCCTGTAAAGTTTCATGACTAGGTCAAATACTTTTTGAGTTATGTGCGACACAAGTTGAAAATTGTAAAATTTAACTAAGTCAAGGGCACTAACTCGGAAAATACTAAAAATATCCAGATGAAAATACCCAGGTGCACAACTACACATGCTGATCAACATTCCTGTAAAGTTTCATGACTCTAGGTCAAATACTTTTTGAGTTACGTGCGACACAAAAGTGAACGGACGGAAGGACGGACAGACGGATGGACAAGGGTAAATCTAAATGCCCGCCACTAACGTGGGGGCACAAAAACACCTTTTTATCAAAGGGCCATAACTCAGCCAAAAATCATTCAACCGGAAAACCCGTGCAATATGCGCAAGGACTTGAGCTACAGATCAATCCTGTAAAGATTCATTGAAATTGCATTAGTGGTATCAGAGAAGTAATCCGGACAAACTTTAAAAATAAAAATTATTAAAGGGCCATAATTCAAACAAAAATCATTGAACCGGAAAATGCTGACAATATGCACAACAAGACTTGGTACTGATCATTCCTGTAAAGTTTGGATGAAATTGCACCTGTAGTTTATGAGGAGTAGTCCGGACAAGCTTTTGTGTACATGTATCTGGCAACACACAGAAAAAGAAACCTTTTTATCAGAGGGCCATAACTCGGCCAAAAATCATTCAACCGGAAAACCCTTGCAATATGCGCAAGGACTTGAGCTACAGATCAATCCTGTAAAGTTTCATTGAAATTGCATTAGTGGTATAAGAGAAGTATTCCGGACAAACTTTAAAATTAAAAATTATTAAAGGGCCATAACTCTGACAAAAATCATTGAACCGGAAAATGCTGACAATATGCACAACTAGACTTGGTACTGATCATTCCTGTAAAGTTTGGATGAAATTGCACCAGTAGTTTATGAGGAGTAGTCCGGACAAGTTTTGTGACGGACGGACGGACAGACAGACAGACGGACAGACAGACGACGGAGAAGTGATCCCTATATGTCGCCACTACTCCGTAGAGGCGACACAAAAAATGAAGGATTTCGGTGACTGTAATGTAAATTAATATCATATGTCAAATACCGGCTAAAACAGAGAAAGGTTAATAAATATTGTTTATGTCAAAGTCTAGTTTTGTCAAAATTTGTAAAGTATGTGTAATCATGCAAGTTATTAACAAATACCTATACAAAAATCTGTAAAAGATACATATAATCTTAACTCATTGCCTGCCAGCAGTAACAGATTCTACCCATGTAACTGGTGTAAACGAAGATCTGCATCATAAATGGACTTAGTTATTGTTCATTTTGGACTGAACCATTCATCATTTATAGGGAAAATTTCCAAATATGTACTGACTAATATGCCAATAATGCAGACCATGATCATACAGCATAACATTGCCAGATAGTCTTGGTGTACATTGATTGCATGGTTAAAATCTGTTACTGCCAGCAGGTTGTATTCAATGCATAAATACATAGTTACAAGCAATCAAGGTAATTTAGCCTATCCTCACTTGACATCTTACTTTATTACAACTGAATATATGTATAAAACTAAACATGCACAGGGACAACTCCAGGACCTGTCCCTCATACAACTACATGTATATTAACTATTGATGTAATCAGAAGTATTCTATACCCCTTATCAACATTACATAAACAAAATGAAAATTCAAAATGACACAAAATATCTCATTCATTTCATTCATTACAAAACAAAACAAGAATTTGTAACAGAGTTACCAACGTCCCCCGCCTCAGGGAAGTTTTATATGAAGCATAAAATATCGTCTTATTATTGTAACTATTTGTGCCAAGTATTTATAAAATCCCTTGAACTATGAAGAAGTATAATAGATCAGACACAAATTTATCTTTGACGTCTAAGTGTGACCTTAAAGGTAGGGACCCATGTTTTGGGCCTGACATTTCGTCTTATTATTGTGGTTATTTGTGCAAGGTATTTTTAAAATCCCTTGATCTATGAAAAAGTTATTGACTGGACACAAAATATACCCTATAACAGACTATGTAGTCTTTGATCTCTAAGTGTGACCTTAACCTTAGAGGTAGGTGACAGACTATGTTAAATTTTGACCTCTAAGGGAGATCTTGAACTTGGAAGTAGGGAAGGAGGTGTTGCGATTTGACACATCCTCTTATTATAGTGTCTATTTGTGCCAAGTATTTTCAAAATCCTTTGATCCATGAAAAAGTTATGGCCAGGACACAAAATATACCTTATAACAGACTATGTAAATCTTTGACCTCCAAGTGTGACCTTGACCTTGGAGTTAGGTGACAGGTTAGTGCGCATGACATATCATCTTAATATTGTGACTATATGTGCCAAATATTTTCAAAATCCCTTGATCTATGAAAAAGTTATGGATCAGACACAAAATAAACCATATAACAGACTCTGTTAACCTTTGACCTCTAAGTGTGACCTTGACCTTGGAGGTAGGGGTGCAGGTGTTGTACTTGACATATCGTCTTATTATTGTGACTATTTGTGCCAAGTTATTTCAAAATCCCTTGAACTATGAAGACGTTCTAGATCGGACACAAAATATACCCTATAACAGACTATGTTAATCTTTGACCTCCAAGTGTGACCTTGACCTTGGAGGTAGGTGACTGGTTGTTGCACATGACACATCGTCTCATTATTGTTAACAATTGTGGCAAGTACTTACAAAATCCCTTCAAAGATAAGAAAGTTATATAAACGACATATACCCTCAAATAGACAATGTTGATCTTAAATGAGGAAGTGCGACCTTGAACCTGGTCAGGTTGTTGCGCATGACACATCGTCTTATTATAACAAACATTTGTGCCGAGTTATTTCAAATTCCTTTAATAAATGACAAAGTTATGGACCAGACACGAAAGTGTGACAGACGGACGGACGTACTCACAAAATGGTACTTATGTGACTTTTCCTTTCATCTTATTTGCCATTTTTAGTCACACAAGGCCTTATAAAAGACACACAAGTAAAAACGGAATGAAAAGGATCAAAGAGAATTTACTGTTAACCTATTGTTCTCCACGTCACACAAGTACCTCTGGGTTCGTACGGACGGACAGACGGACGGACAGACGGAGCCTATTTCTATATCCCCCTTTTTTCTTCGAAAAGGCGGGGGACAATAATGGAATCACAGAATAGCCATTAAATATATGTCACATTTTTTTCTTTTCAATCACAAACAAATAAAATAGGCACATCAAAGTTTGCAGTTCACCTTGATATATGGCCCCATTTCTTGTATTGGTTAACGCTGTTTTTTTCAAGTACAGCCACTTCTTATAAGGTCCAGACATAGAAGTACATTCTCTGCCATGTTGGAAGATATTCCAATAATGGTCCTACAATAACAAGAGGGAACATAGTATAACATGTATATTAACTATATCATACCTTTACAAATTAATACAGTTTTAAAAAGCTTTTCTAAACAAATTATGACAATTAAACCAAAATTCAATAATTTGACCTTGACTGTCAAGGTAATTTATCAAGGTCAAGGTCAGTTCAACCTTTTAAAAGGACTTGTCTAACAGGTTGTTTTGTTTAGTAAGTATGAAGATAATCCATTTATGAATTAGCAAGTTACAGTCAATTATAGCAAAAATCAGTGAAAATTCAGTAATTTAAACTTCAAGGTCAAGGTCATAAATGGTCCAAATTTGAGTTTGATATACATGAAGGTCTTATCCTAAAAAAAGGCTGTGTTTCAATATGAAGTCAATCCATAAATGAAGAAGAAAATTTCAATAATTTGACCTTCAAGGTCAAGGTCATTAATGAGTGAAGGTATATGTCTGTTTGGTAAACTTAATGGTCTATCCTAAAAGATAGTTGTGTTCAATTTTGAAGACAATCTATTCAAAAATAACAATGTTATAGCCACTAATAGCAAAACCAGCAAAATTCAAGCAAAAATTAAGACATTTGACCTAGAGAGTCAAGGTCATTTGTGAATGATGGTCAAGTTTAGTCTGGTATACTTGAAGGTGTTGTCTAAAGGATTGTTGTGGCTTAGTATGAAGACAATACATCAACAACTTAAAAAGTTATGATCAAGGTTAAAGTTTGTGGACCATAATGCAGACATGACTGTTAAAACAACTCAAATTTTTTCTTTGAAAAAAAGTTGAGCTAAAAATAATTTCAATTCTGGTGACAAGCATCTTACATGCTCTCAATCAGTTATCTAAATGTTAAAAACCCCTCTTGTTTGTTCTTTCTAAAGGAAAGATTTATTTGTTTTTGAGGCATAATGTGACTTTCAAGGATAAATGTAGTACTGGGCAGAAATGTTATTAACACAACATGTAAAGTATTTTGAACAATTGCCAACCAAAGATAAATATTTTGGACAGAGGCATCATACTTACTGATGATAAACCCTGATAATGGCACATACTGAGCAATGAATCTGAAGATTGCAATAAATCGCATCCTGAAATAAATTAAAATGAAACTGTAAGCACAAAATTACTTAACAAACAAAATAAATTAAGCTAGATCTATTTATGTCTTGGTATATTGATATAGTATATTCTTTGTTATTGAATAGCAGTGTTAAGGGCAATAATGTCACAGAAGTGCTTTAATTTTTATTTCTTAATAACTTTTTTACTTTTGGATGTACTTTTATAGTCCTTTTTCTTCTGCTGTTTTTGGCACTAAGTACAGTTATAGTACTTTAATATTTTGTACTGAAATCAAAATACAAATGTACTACTTTTTTTGACAAATAAGTTCACATTTACTGCTGCTTTCTTTAGGTAACAAGCATCTAGCATGCTCAAAAGTCTAAACCATTATTTAAACATTACAAAACTAATGTGCACCCATTCTAAATAAGTAAAAAAAATGCTTCTGAGGTAAAATATGTTTTTAAACATCTCTAAAAATGCTGACAATACTCTGAGAGTGTGTGGGGGGGGGGGGGGGAAAGGTGGATGGTTGGGTTTTACGTCACACCAACACAATACTGGTTGGGGAGATAACTCCGACACTAAATCACATATTTTTTGCAATATTTTAATTATCTTCCAGTATATTTTAAATATTGAACCACCTAAACAAAGTTCAGTTCAAAGATTTTACATTACACCACAAAAACTATGTATGAAAATGGAATCTGGTACTTCTTTAAGGTCTTGAATGAGGTATGCAAAACATGGTCTTTTTAACCCACAACAGTAGATAAAGTCGACACTTAAAATTTTAAGTAAAAAATGACTGGAAAATCAGCATCAATAATTTATTTTTACATCTTATATGGTTTATCTATTTTTTGTTAATATTTAAACAATTTTTCAAAAAAATTTCCCAAGTCAGTGGCCTGTGGTCAATACATTTCTAACTACCTTACTGTAATTTAGTAAAAAGAATGTTTTGAAGCAGTTTTTGCCTACAAAAAGTTTAGGTTATTTGAAAAACATTAAAAAGTCTACCAAATTATAACAAATCATCACATTCTGTCCTGTTCCTATACTGTTAGGTGATCATGTGCTTATTTGTTGAAAAACAAAGCAAAAACAATTATATTTATCAAGTGTCGGGGTTATCTATGCGTCGGAGTTATCTCTCCGACCAGTATAGGTGATATGGCAGCTTTAAAGCTTTAATGGAGGAGGAAGAATACCTCAGTTACCCTTCTGTGCATTATTTCGGGCACAAACAGGCACCTGAGTAGAACCACCAATGTTCTCCAAGCTAACTGGATAGCTCCCTCACATGAAAGAATCAAAAGACAAAGAACGGACAAATTTTGACTGTCAGGGCAGGATTAATTTCAGATGTAGAGAACAATTAAGCAATGGCTTTAACTTAATATCCATGTTCTAGGCATTGTAGTTACAGTGATTCTAATTTAGATCTTAAAAGATCTTCATTACTGGTACTATATGAGAAAACATGCTTGTGACCAGAACAGAGCTTGAACATGTGGTGAAAAGGAGGACACCTCAACCACCAGGACACAAATACCCTTAAGGATGTTGTTAGAGTAATATATACAGATTTTAATTACCAGGAAGAATAGACATATAAACAGATACAACACTAAAATATAATGCTGACTTACTTTGTATATTTATCATAAAATGGTGATCTCATCAAATAGTACAGTAACATCATATTGCGTCTCTTTAACTCAGCTTTCTCTTTAGCATTTAAATCTTTAGTATCCCCCATCAAATACATACTGCAAGAACAAGTCAATATAAATACACTGTTGTCAACATCTAAATGAGCTGTGTCACGACAAAACCAACATAGTGCGTTTACGACCAGCATGGATCCAGACCAGCCTGCACATCTGCGCAGTCTGATCAGGATCTATGCTGTTCCCTATCAGTTTCTCTACTTGTAATAGGGTTTGTAAGCGAACAGCATGGATCCTGATCAGACTGTGCAGATGCGCAGACTGGTCTGGATCCATGCTGGTCGCAAACGCACTATGTTTTGTCGTGATGCGGCTCAAAATAGTATAATACTGAGCTTTATCAGTGAGATATAAATTATATCATTCACTCATTCTTAAAGAAAATTTAACATTTCTTTTAAATACATAAGAAAATAAGTGTAAATAAACTTTGGTTTCCTAGCATTTTCCATCCCCTAGCAGTTTTCCAGCCGTTTATCATTTTCGTCCAGTACTGTCTATTTTTACCAGTAAGGCATCCACATTACTTCATCAATCAGAGAGACATTTGTTTTCTTTGCTGAACAGCATTTAAAATAGTACAACGATTTATATGTTTTGAAGTTTTGCCTGTTATTTAAAGTTACATGAGAACTTGCGACTTTCAAAAATAAGCACCTGGAGAATTCTAGTTTGAATATCCATGCACAATAACTAAGAACCCATTTTAGGTAAATCAATACTTCGGAAAATATTTTTGCAGATGACACAGAAAAGGTTGGGAAGTTCTGTTTGTCTGATAAAACCATCTTAACATTGCTTTATGGTACTGAATTATATTCAATATAGAAAAGGTCCGGAAAACTGCTATGAATTTTTGAATAAAGGTGAAAAAAGCTGTTACAATTCAGGCCTATATTCAAATTAAAAAGTAAAATTAAAGTGCAACATTAAACACATGGCAATGCTGGACAGGTTACCTAACTTTGTCCTGTCAAAAGTTTTGTACCCCTCAGTAGACTGATTTTTATTTTATTTGTTAAAAAGTGTGATTTGTGGCCGGAAACTGCTAGGAAACCGGAAGCCCTTTTTGTACATTTTAGCACAACTCTTTATCAAGAATTTTTTTTATCAAAAATGTTCCTTTTATGTAAGTAAAAAAAGAGTAAACCTAAAGATATATAAAAGTACCTAGAAAGTCTAAGACTTAAAAAAACAAGAACGTGTTTATTAAACACAAATGCCCCCGGCTCCGATTCTTGTCAATAGCAATATTTCAAAAAATGTTTACCCATTCACTCAGTTATGGACAGAAACATTGCCAAAAAATTGTAAACACAAGTTTTATAGCTTGACAAAGTCATGGCATTTTGTAATTGTGAAATATATAAGTTGCCAAGTCATTGCTATGACGTGAAGTGATAAATATTCAACTTTATCAAATATATATAAATGTAAGAAATCTATGCTTGGCACCCTTTACCTTGACCCACTGACACCTATAGAATATCATGCAAGTTATCTTCCTACCAAATATGAAATACACCTGTCAATAAATAAAGGCTGTATGGGCAAAAATGTTAAAATCTATTTTGAGCATTGATGACCTTGATCAAACTGACCCCTAACTCTATCCAAAGGATGAATACCATGCAAGTTATCTTCCAACCAAATATGAAATAAATCTGTCAATAAATAAAGGCTGTATGGGCAAAAGTGTAAAAATCTATTTTTAGCACTAGTGACCTTGACACGCTGATCCCTAACTCAATCAAATTGAAGAATACCATGCAAGTTATCTTCCTATCAAATATGAAATACACCTGTCAATAAATAAAGCCTGTATGGGCAAAAGTGTAAAAAATCTATTTTTAGCACAAGTGACCTTGACCCAATGATCCCTACCCCAATCAAAAGGATGAATACCATGCAAGTTATCTTCCTACTAAATTTGAAATATATCTGTCAATAAATAAAGGCTGTATGAGCAAAAGTGTAAAAATCTATTTTTAGCACTGGTGACCTTGCCCCAACTGACCACTAACTCCATCAAATTTTATGTTCCTATCAATTATAAATGACATCTGTCTATAGAATATGGTTAATACACCTGTAAAAATCTATTTTTAACATTGGTGACCTTGATATTGTTGATATTGACCTTGACCCAAATGACCCCTTAATATACCCAAAGAAGGAGGACCTCCCTTGGCATGTTTGTATTAAACATGAAATAAAGGCTGTATGAGCAAAAATGTTTAAATTTATTTTCTAAACCAGTGACCTTGACCCTAGAGACCACTTACTCCACAAAAAATTAGAGGACCATTAAAGGTATCCACCTACCAAATATGCAAGATATCATTAAATAAATTAAGCAATTAAGAGAAATTTACGATAAATCCAACTTGCCGGAATAGGTTAGCCAGACAAGGCCCTATTTTCAAAGTGAAAAAAGGGAAATAACTGGGAAATATGGATGACACAGTTACATAACTTGGCAATATCATGTACTTTGTATTGATAAGTAAGTGTGGAAATTATGAAGCCATTAGTATAGATAGAACTTAAGATATTTCCAACTTGCCGTTTAAGGTTAACCAATATTCATTTTCTAAGTGCTGAAAAGGGCAATAACTTGGTAAATATGGAAGCCATAGTTATGTAACTTGACCAGATCATGTACTTTGTATTGATTAGTAAGTGTGTAAACTAAGAAGCCATTGGTACAGGTAGAACTTTAGAAAAAATCCAACTTGCCGTTCTAGGTTAACCTCATACGGACAGACGGACGGACGGTTCAATTACTATATGCCCGAGGGCATAAAAAAGGGGGGGGGGAATTTACAAGCTATTGTTAGAAACACATGTTATAAGGGATGATAACATGATGATATTTATAAAATTAAGTTAAAATCAAACCTAGTAACATCCATTCCACAGGCCAGTAAGAACGGTTTCCAGGAATCTAGTCCTGATATGTACATACTGATTACTGTATAAGTCAAGGTCAAATAAATGACTGACAATTATTTTTATGTAAATAACTGCTTTTGACACTATTTCATACACCCTCAATAAATAGTGTACCAATAGTATATTTTTATTTCAATTCAAAATACATTAGTTTAAATATATTGTTTGTACATGTACATTAAATGGACTAGTGTAAACTGTATTGATTTTAACATCATACCTGTTTTTTTTCTTTTTTACAAGTAAATATCATATTCACCTTTAAATACATTGTTTGTTCAATCAGAAATTGTTCCCTAATTATTTATAATGTCAATACTGGTTAAAGAAATTGAGGGCAATTTACCATCAATCACAATTCTTAAGTCCAACTGACATTACTTTCACATGTAAGTTAAATTGTGGATGTATAAAATATCCACATGATTAAAACATAAAAAGATACAATGGGCCATTGGTCTGGCAATATGTAACCCCTCTGCCCATTTTCTCTGCTTGGTAAGTTTGGATGCAGGCTGGTTTAACATTTTCCGTTTACGGTTCAGTACACTGTTTTGGGGTGATTGAGTACCAGACTCCGGAACACCCCAAGTTCTCATTCCTGGTTCCGCTGTAATAAAAACATGATAAGAGCCGTGACATTTCCAACATAACGTATCACACCTGGACATGTTGATGTTTTATCACATCGTTTTGTGATCATATGCAAGTATATGTATAGCATATTAATACAGTAGGGGCTATTTTGCATATTTTGATCCATTTTTGGTAATTTACATGGATTGTAAGTGCCGTATGCAATGTGTAAATTACTTTCTTTGTTCTATTCACAATATTTTACTTTTAAATACATTTAAACGATTTTCCAAATTGTTATGAAAAAATTGAGGCATGCTGCTTTAACGATATCATAACGTTGTGTTTAATGATGAAATTCAAAAGAAATTATGACATTACATTTCTCTCAATATAATATTTTATGGGGGTCATTCAACACGTAGCTGAAATTTTACTTTTACTGAAATTAGCCCATTTTGTCAGACACACTCAATTTTTATTCAGTTTTACCTGATTATCATCAATTTCCCGCTTTTTTCAACAACTTAAGATGTCATATACTAAGAGCCACTTGTGACCAAAACTGGCATTTTCAATAAACAAGTTTAACAGGAATTATTATTATAAAACAAGAAAAAAAAATGTTTCCCTTAATTTTATATAAAGCAGGATGGGATTTCAACAACTTCTAGTGTCTTACACGCACATCCACTAAACAGAGCAATTGTCTTTTAATTATATACTCTTATTATTTAGTGTCAGTTATATTAAACAATGATACCCACATGATGTAATATTTTCCTTATTCTATTTACATTAAAGTGTTTTCCAGATTAATATAATGCATATCAGCCCCCACAATGTAACTATATACATGTATATGGATAAAGAGAAAAACTGGGAAAACATCTTGACACTGGAAATAAAATAACAATGAGATCATTGTTTAATTACTTTAAGCAAGTATTAGCCCTGAAATTGTTCTCTGTTGCTAGGGCAATATATTAAGTGTTGTTTGAATAGATGAAATAGGTTTGTCAACTGATAAATTTCCTTGAAATTTTCTTTCTTATGGTACTTAAAATATGATTTAATAAGGGAGTGTCTGTCAGGGGTTCAAGGTTACTCGAACAAGTTTATCAGCGCAGTTGTTCCTTAAAAAAATGATTTTAACTGCAGACTAACATCATCATTAGTGCAGTAATTGTCTTTGAATCGAGAAATATGCTCTTAAGAATAAGATACACAATACATTTATAAGAAAATTTACCAAATCATAAATTAATACTTAGTAGGCTACAAAAAAAACTAGAAATGTGTCATCATGCCACGATTGCCCCCGCATGCAGCCAAAATTTCAGATGTTATAATATTTAGTTCCAAATTTGTTTGCACAAATTATTTTTTTCATTTAAGTTCAAAGCCCTTAAAACTTTTCAATGTTAACACAAACCATTTTCATACAATGTTCAAGGCACTGAAATTATTCAGTCTTAACCTTTTAAAAAAGGCATATTGCATATTTGTAGCCAAAATAATGGCTAAAAGTATGAGTGCTGAAACAGAAAGTTCAAAATTTTTCCAACATTCAGGAAAGACAAGTTTGTCCAAAATCATTGAACCACGACCAAATTCAAACCTAAGATGTATCTATATTATTTTCAAAGTAAAAGGGACATTACTTTGCCAAAAAATCATCAAACCATGACCAAATTCCAACTTGACATGCCCATTCCTTTGACATATCCATATGTCAAATTTGAGTTGAATATGTAACACTGTTGGGTGGATAATGAACAGAATATATTCATTTCATTTTCAAAGTGAAAGGGGCATTACTCTGCCAAAAATCATTGAACCATGACCAAATTTGAACTTGACCTGCGCATTCCTTTGACGCATCCATATGTCAAGTTTGAGTTGAATGTGTTGTACCGTTGGGGAGATAATGAACAGAAACTGAAAATTTCATATTGTTTTCAAAGTAAAAGGGGCATAACTCAGCCAAAAATCATCAAACCATGACCAAATTAGAACTTGACCTGTATTTTCTCAAGACATACCCATATTTCAAATTTGAGTTGAATGTGTGCAACCGTTCTTAAGATAATGAACGGAAACTGATGATGACGGAATGACAGAATGACGAAAGGACGGAATGACGGAACAGGGTAACACTTTATGCCCTGGCCATTACATGGCGGGGGCATAAAAATAGCAAAGCTCTGTTTATAACACAATGAGTGACATACTCTGAGTAATATGGGATTTATAGCATTAAATAGAAACACAGTCTTTCATTTATAAGCATAAACTATTACAACAATTTGACAGTATTTTTGCATATCAGACTGGTGTTTCTGTTAATTTTACTGATAAAATTACTAAAATTATATATGTGTAAAGTAACCTGCCTAAGGATTATATCTAGAATGAAGAAAGTTCAGATATTCAAAACTGAAAACCATTCAAGATATGACCTTTCAACTACCATAAAATACATGAGTATCTAAATTTTGGGTTGAAAAACTTAGCACCTAGGTTATATTTTGATGCCCATAGCTATACTGTGCTTTTTGTATTAGGATTTTATGTAACACAAAACTGTTATGGATATCTGGCAACTTTCCAGGTTCACTGGGGGGAGAAAACCTCAGGTGCAGTATTCAGACACCAGTGGTCACTGAGTAGAACCACTGGTCTTCAGTAAGCTAGATGTACAACTTTCCCACATTAAAGATTCCAAAGTCTCCGTCAGGATTTGAACCCATCACAGTGAAACCAGGGCTCAAAGTTCATGACCTTAACTACTCAGTCACGGACATCCAAATAGAATTAACAGTGGAAAAAGAGTAGTTACTTTGAAAGGTTCTTCATATAACATGTACATGTATAAAGATTTTTGTACATAGAAAGAAAATCTTACTATCAGGTAGTAACTTGCTGAATAGAAAAGACAAAGCATGTTTTTTTCCCTTGTTTTTTGTTTGTTTTGTTTTGCTTTTTTTCCCTTAAAACTTACAAAAACAATAGACATTCTTACTTTTTGTCTTTAGTACATGGAACAGTCCTTTTTATCCTTTAAATACCTGCATACATACATGTATACTAAATGTATATTCAAGTTAAAAGTGCTTTGCATTGAATACAATATTTCATTTAAGTCAATGTTTTTAGTACTGATTGTTTATATAAAGTTAGCTTTTATGGTATATAATATTACAGATAACATATATACTATAGGAGAATATACAAATATAAATATACAAATATTTACCAGCTTGAAGTGTACGTATTTGTCGACCAGAGCTCTGTAAGGTGAAGGTTTTTTCCTGGGCACTGTATGCTGCTTCCTCGTCCCAGGCATCCTCCAGATTCTGAAATAATAGTTTAATATATGAGCCACGTCACGACAAAACCAACATAATGGGTTTGCGACCAGCATGGATCCAGACCAGCCTGCGCATCCCGCAGTCTGATCAGGATCCATGCTGTTCGCTATCAGTTTCTCTACTAGCTATAGGGTTTGTAAGCGAACAGCATGGATCCTGATCAGACTGCGCGGATGCGCAGGCTGGTCTGGATTCATGCTGGTGGCAAACACATTATGTTGGTTTTGTCGTGACGCGGCTCATATATGTTTCATAACACAACTGCTCACTATTAGAGTCTTTTTTCCCCTGCAATATTCAGTTCTTTCCACACACAATACCATAAATTTGGTGTGTACATGTATAACCTTAACATTGCTGGATACAGAGAAACAATGAATTAATAAACTGATATCTTTTAAAATCAAAAAGTAGGGGACTTCATGCTATATTCGGTATTTTTACCTTTTAGATACCAAGATATTTATTTAAAACATAGAGGAAAAAGTAGATGACTGTGACATAAAATCTATTTACTACTTTTTTGTTGGGTTTTAAGTCAAATCAACATTGTAAAGGTCATGTGATGGTGCTTTATAAGCTATCTTTATAGCTTTCTCACATGGTGGAATCATGATGCAGTCAGTATTTGAATTGTTAGCTGTGAGGGGTGAGTCAATTGAGAACAGAAACCTAACTAAACACTTGGCAGCAGAAACTCCTTTTTCTTCTTAGATATGTAGTTAGACATAAGGTATGAAATAGTTATATTTACATCATGTTCATCTTCTGCAGTCTTCAGGATTTCTCTATCCACAGGTTGTATAGCAGGAGTACTACCAATACCTCCATCTAATTTTACCAACACATAAAATCTTAATGCAGTTCTGAAAATACAAACAAAATCAATTGTTTAACTTTTAGCATGAGCACTATAAAAGATACATATGATAATGTATGGCTGAAGTATTTTATTGGATACACAAATGATGAATAAATTTTCAGATCTCATTACCTACAGATGAAAATCAATATAAACTTCAAAATAAGTTAGAAAAGATATATATGCAGGGAGTTATTTGTTGTGTATATGTGGCTATCAACACCCAAAAATTAAAGAAGAATAGCAAAATGACTAATAAATGTAAGGTCAGAACTAGACAGGGCCATTTGTTTATCATTCAAATCACTAGAGCAATGAATGTTTTTGCCAGATTAATTGAATTTTGTTTACACACATATATTATAGGCACACAAGCAGTCTCTTGTCACAAATTTAACTATGTTATATCAAATACAATTACTTCATGATTTGTATGATTGTGATGACGATCCATGCACCTTTTGTTCCCCATTTCTTCTTGGCAGCCATTTCCAGAAACACTTCTGTATATTCTAACACTGTAAGCCATCTCTTTATCTTTTCTTTTGTTACATTCTGTGAAGGATATAATATATAAAGTATTCTGATGTTATTTTCATGTTTTCTTGTAAGATATCTTTCATTAAACACTCATATTCAAACAAGTTTTAAGAATACAGTGAACAGATCTATGTTTTTTTTGTTGTTGTTTTTTAGGTTTGGGTTTACATCACATAAACACAGTATTGGTCATATGGCAACTTTCCAGATTTACTGGTGGAGGAAGACCGTATGTTCCCTTTCCATGCATTATTTCTGGCACAAGCAGGCATCTGAATAGAACCATCAACATTCTGTAAGCTAGCTGAATAGCTTCCTCACATGAAAATATCCAAAGTCCCTGTTGGGATTCAAACCCAAAATGTAGTTTTAAATAGCCTGTTTTTATGATGAATGTATAAATATTTTAATATAAACATATTAAAATCCAGCAATTAATTGAATTTTTTGCAAAAGATGAATCATGGATGACTAGAAATTTTGCTATTAGTATATATCTTTGAACACTTCAATTAAGTTCTTGTTCTTTTTTCTAGAAAATAATGCCTTACCACAACTTTGGAAACATATTTGGAAGCTGCTTTAAAGACACTGTCATTTAAGAAGACAAGTAGATTGGAAGCTGAATATATCAATTCAGAAAGAATTTCTCCATTTTCAAAACGACCTGAAAATTATAATTTTAATTTACTGGTTATTGTATGAATGTTAACATTAAATATGAGATCTATGATGGCCCTTAAATGTTCACTGTGATTTTTCAGCAATTAAAATGTTAAAGCTAGTTTTCAATTGACTTTGCCATAACGAATTTTAGTATACTTTACAAAACAATTTTTTATACACTCTTAAAGTGAAATTCTGTAAAAAATTTCTTGAGAGTATTCAACATATCATTTTAGGCATTAAAGATTTTATCAATTTGCAAACACACTGCCAAGATATAGTTTAATCTCATTCAAGGTGAGACAATGTTGTATGATAGCTAAATTCCTTGTTAATTTTAAGAAACATTTAGCATGATTGGTCACATTGATAGTTTGTAATTATTAAAATAGTTTTCTGTCACAAAATGCCAAAGATGTATCAGCCCCTGACATATAGGCCTTTAATTAACCAAATAAGTCAAATTATTTTTTGGACTAGAATTATAAACACACCAATTAACTGGTTGCAGGTCGAAAGCTACGCTATATTTCATAAGGGGAAGTCATACATCGGTACCGCGAGGGGCATTTTATTGAGCAATATATTATGTACATGGTACATATATTTATTCATGTATTAATTGTCTATGAAGTTCTTACCATTTGTTTTCTTTTGCTATTTGTTTATTATCGTTTGGTTAATATTGCAAACACAAAAGATCGATTACTTGGCAATTATCGGGTATTTACATCAATCAACTGAGGGTGTGAAATACAAATTTTCCGTAACAAGTAGGAAATTATGTTGTGAGAACATTTTTCAAAATCTTTATTCCCTGAAGCCATAACTAACCTGTGCAATCATTCGATTGTTTAATTATCGGATAGTGTTATTCATGTACTGATCCTAATCGAGCGCATCCCGATATTTCAATTATAACAGTTTGTTATAACCGAGGAAATTTAAATGTTTTCCGTCATTTGGGGCTTGAAAAAATGGTTCGTTATAGCCGAAAATTCGCTATAAGCGAGTATGTATTGAACGATGTGATTTAATATAAAATAAAGAAGGAATCGGCTGGGGATGTCAGAATTAGTTCGCTATTAACGATAATTCGTTATAAGCGAGTTCGTTATATGTGGAGTTGACTGTATAGAACTCAATGCATATCAATGAAATTTTCAGTCAGTTTTAGTTGGGTCCTGCCATTTTCAATGTAACTAAATGATAATCCGACAACAAAACATCTTACTTTGCGGATGAATAATAATAATCGAGTGTTCCGAGTGAAAACGGAAGCAGTGCATGAAATACTGAATGACACTTTTAAAACAGAAAATGTAAAATAAAAATTCAATCGACTTCCCCTTTCATAGGCTTTGCCTAATTTCATATTAGAAAATTATGTTTATTAAGAAGAGCCAAAATGAAGAACACATCTTTGATAATCCAGTTTAAAACTGACATTTATAAAGTAAGTTCTACTTGCATAAAGCTGTCCTACTAGCTACATGTTAACGGAGCTGATAATAACATATCAACTTTAGGTCACAGTTATCACATGGAAACTGCAAATTTACTTCAATGCATATCTAATAAATGTAAATCGATATGTTGATGTTTTAAGACCCGTTTTGTGTGGGAGAGCAGCTTTTCACAAAAAAAAAAATAACCTGCTGCTACAAGTTCAAATTGCTATGAAACTGTAAAAGGTACTTCAGTATTCATCAAACTTGGCACAAATGTTGACTTGACCATAGCATTTGTAGCAGCATGCTCAATCTTAAATTTCCTGTTACCATGGCAACAAGGGGACATCTCAAAATTACCAAAAAATCACTATTTTGCGTTGATTTCTTCCATCAAAACTGATTTCAAAGTGCTGCAACTTCCCAATTGATTAAGATTAGAGTCAAAGGCTTTTCAGCATTAGTTAATCAAAGGCTTTTTAGCATTGGTTTTACATGTTACCTTCTGAAAGATCTGAGGCCAATTTTAGCCTCTCACAAGTCAAAAATCTTTTTTGGCAATGAGGGGGCTGCTGCCCCCCTTTAAACTCCTGAGCAGAACGGGGCACATTCCCCTCTGGTACCCCCCTGATGTATCTTTTTGATAGGGGATGGAACCGAAAAAATGATCATACATAAAGCAGACTGTTAATAGCTAGAAGACATGCCAAATCACACTTCTGGTAGAACTTCAGTTACTGTTTACCGTACAAATTACTTTATTTACAAAATGCAAGAAAGATCTGGTTTACATTATGAAAATGTGATGCTAGTTATTAACTCATAAGAGCCTTTCCCTGCCATAGGCAGGCAGCACCTAATTTCATATCATCATGAGCTCTTTTTTTACAATAGTATGTTCTTAAGTTACATCAATTAGTATATAATATGTGGAAAGCCAGAGTTGGGCTAAAGACCATGCCAGGGCTGCAAGGTTAGGTTCAAAATCTAGGACGCTGTAAGAACATTTTCTCTGTATGATCTATTTTAAAGATCATTATATATTTGTGAAGTTCCAGTGGCATTTGTAAAACGAATATTTTATTTATATCATGGAACAACTTAATTTACAAAACGTGTTGTTTTTTTCAAACCAAAAGTAGGCGTGACAAAACGAGTTTTAAGAACATATTTAATATACCTGCGACAAGAAATGACAAAATTCTGACAGCTGATTCTATCTGAGCTACTGTGTCAGGATTATTTCGAACTGTCTTCGAATATTGATCTTTTAAATCTTGTATTAGTTTCTTTATTTTCCATTCAGTAGTATCAGCTGCCATTTTGCCTCTTCATCCGAACCTCAACTTGTTACGCTATTTGTGATTGGACAATATAAAGATAAATCACCAATTGGAATGTCTGTAATTAATGATTGATGTTAAAAACTTCTTTCCTTTAATGAAGAGTATTCGATGTAGATGGTTTTCAGCTGTTACACATGTATAATTTTGGTAAGAATTTAATTATACGTTGTTTGCAAGTGATCAATATTTATCAGTTTTCTTAGTTAGTTACATAAAAAAGCTTCGGTAAATTTTATATTGGCTTTTCACAAAATATAGCCAAAAAAAGAGATGAAAAAATAATTTGTCCAAGTCAATAAAAGACTCAATTCACAATTGTCTTGATAGATGAACACTGAAAACATTGTCCTCACACAGTATTAACCAGTCTACTTCCTGTATTTGCAAGAAAGATAAAAGTTAAAATATACCGGCTCCAAAGAAGTGTACAGTGATCTTTTATTTATATTTTTTTATTTATACATTTTAGGAACATAGCACATGATACAAAATATAAAATCATACAGTTAAGGTGACAACGGAGTCAATTATCACTGAAAATACCTAAAATGAGATTTTTTGCTAAGTAGATTTATCAACCTTTTCTGAACACATTCGTGATTTAATTTTGGAAGCAGTTAGTCCAAAAAATGTGTTTTTAAACGATTTAAAACGGTACCTATACTATTTGTATCTGCTATTCGCGTAACCTGTCGATTATCGATAACGCTCCGCCCCCTGTTGAGGCATCAATGAGGGAAATCGGTAGTTCCATATATCCGTGAATTACAGGTCCATACTGGTCCATACTTCTCGTAATACATGTATCGTACATCTTTTATGAATATCTCAACATTTAGCCTTTTTTATAAATTAAGAAATTGTCGGCCAATGTACGTAACATAATGTATGAAACATAAATAATTAAGCATAGCGGCAAATCGCACGAGCACGGGGTTGATTAAAATGTAGTTGCTAAAATATCCATAATGTGTGAAAATAATTTGTCTGTCCCGTTAATCTGATATATATTACATTGAGTTGATAGACTTTTGTACGGATTCAAGGGCTTACTTTACATTCAACCTCGTTTTCTAACAATGTCAAGTAAAACAACAACAGACGACATTTTTTATGTGAACGCTAATATTACTTGTGGTAAGGTGTCCCTGACAACTTTTTCTAAACCATTTTAGATTGTCTAAGGATGATTATTTCTCTATGAATAAAAAAAGATATTAAAATAAATTCTCAGTGAAAATAAATTGTTCGCCAGTAAATCCGACACAGTACTAATAAATCTGGGATAAAGTATGAAATTAATTGTCTATCCCGGTAGAAACTGGATCTCTATGCCGTGCATAGATGATATTCATGATAATAGAAGTCAAGAAGGCCACATAATAATGATCAAGTAATACCTTTTATTTCTATTAAAATATGTGAAGCATTATCAATTTGGTGGAAAAAATATATACTATCCCGTTCTTATTTGTACATCTACCATGGACTTTAAAAGACTGTCAGAAGCTCAGTTTTTTGTTATTTTATTTTATATTTTTTAATGGAATTTCATACACGAATACACAGGCAGAGTGACACTGGTATAATACAATAATAATGCTGATGATAATAATAATAAACTTCAAATAGGAAACAATTAAATACCCCGCTAGCGGTGCGCAAATGCGTTCCATTTGCCCCCACTGAGTGCCTCAAATTTTACCGATAGTCACGTGACATGTGCGACAGATACCAGACGTGCAGTAAATCACGTTAAGAATTGAAGAAATTTCGGCTATAAACTGATATTAATCAGCAGCTTTTTAATTGGTCAGATGTCACTGGATCATAAAATGTTGTTAGAGTATGTTACCGCAACTTGTGACCCTCCCTGGTGCGATATTTGTGTATTATGCAATTATTTAGCGTGAAACGTAGGGGTCCGAGAGAGAACAGCCGATTTATGACACTTCGTTTGATGCGGGTCGGACTAACTTTGAATCGGCATAACTTTTTTAATAATCAAGCAATTAACATGCGGTTTAAAGCACATGAAAGGAAATTCATTTACGGAGGGAACCGTGTCAGGGATTTTTGTTTGCTCAATCAGCGACTTAATTATCTTTAATTACGTAATATGTATGGTGAAAAAAGTCGCATAAAATGTTTGACGTTACGTAATATTTTTTTGAGAAAAGATATAAAAAATTTGAGACACGGTTCCCCAGATAATATAAGTATGGTTATTTTCCAAAAGTTTGATGACAAAAAAATAAAAAATGACTTTGATATGACGATTTAAAATTTTAGGATTTTTATTCAAAATCAATCATTTACAAAGGCATTTTTTTCAAATATGTTATTTTTTATGATGATCAACGACATTTAATGCACAAAGATTAAATGAATAACAATTATTACAAAAATAACTTGGTTTAAATGACATTTATGTGAGTACCACGGAAAGTGTCTGTTGTCACCTTAAGAGATAACATATATAAATCATATAAATAAAATGAGATCATAAAACAGCATAAAAGAGCACACTTTTGTCATAAAAAATAAAATAAGAGGTACTATGCACCTATGGATAGCCGATTAAGCTAAATGCTTATTTCCAATGGGGTCCATAGAAATAAAAAAAAAACAACATAATTTTAACCCTTCCCCCCCACCCCCCCTAAGAAAAAAACAAACGAAAAACAACAAGATAAAAAACTAAACTAAACTTTGGTCAAAATTATGGTTGAAAAAGGAAATATGTTTATAAAAGTATGCCCTTTTTAAAATAAGCCTAGTATTACTATCACAGAAATATTTGATCACAGTGCCTAACACATTAGTTGTACACTAATCTTTTTGTACACTAAGTTGTACACTTTTCTTCTGAAAGACTTTTATAACTTTCTAGTAGGTACTTTTTAACAGATTTTTTGTATTGCACAAAATTATTAATGGATTTTATATACTCTGGCAGATCATTCCAGTCTTTGATTCCATTATAATAAAAGGTCTGTTTCATCACAGAATTACACTGGGGGACAATAAAATTAAAATTGCTTGATCTTGTGTTGTAAAATCTTGCATCTTGCAGATCAGAAGTATTAAACGTGATTTTACTCACAAGACATTCAACAGTGATTTTGTTTATATTATGTGTCAAAAATGTTATTTGACATTTTTAGTTTATTTGGTCATCGACTCTAACCCCTCGACCACGGAGGCGGTTAAATACAGTTTGTAAATGCTTGATAATTTTGTACAAAAAACAGTTTGTATTATAAGATGAATGCTTGGTCCAGAATCTTAGCAAATGTTACAATAATTCTCAGTCTTCCCAAGAATAGTCTTCCACTGGAACAACCTGTAGTATCCGGGTATTTTACTTGTTACATCCTTGCTTGGGGGTTTGACAGAAAAGGAAGTTAGATAGACAGAACGTATCTCCTGAAGGGAAATGTTCAACTTCAAGAGTACCGTAATCTTTTGACTTATTCCTGGAAATGTTTTACATTAGAAACAAACATGACATTTTACAAATTGTTTGCACTCTAAAAGAATGAGTAAAATTTGTGCTGTTCAGGTCTAACTAAACCAATCAAACCTTTTGACAGCTGCAGTAGGTTTATGTGACCATGCCAGAAGTCTAATGAACCATAACATTTTAGTTGAAAACATAATTAACTGAAAGTTAAATAATTATCAATTTATGGTTTTCTGTAGTAAGATAGTCTTTTTTTTTTACCATGTTTGTGCCAAGAATTGGTCTATGCTAAGCATTAAATGGACCATTCTTATATTGATATAAAAACAAAAAGGTGTGTAAATTATTCAAATTTAGCCATTTGTTTTCTTACTTTAACATCAACAACTAGTATATTATATGATATGCAATATTATTCAGTCATATATTTCTTTGATATTAGTAATGCTTTACAGCAATTTAAATTAAAATGGACCGTTTTCTTGTTGCCTTTCTTTTCTATTCCAGTGTGATTATCCGATTTCATCTGAAAGTTTTTGTGTTTCTTCTTCTAGTAACATCCTGGATGACTTAGAGATAGCGCATATCCACAGTTAGACAAGGTGTATGGTAGAAAATATGATAAGGTTAAAGAGAAGTACACTGATGTTTCTGGTGATATTTGGAGCTTTCCCAGTTCTAACTCTAGTATATCTAGCTATAAATACTGATGGTGAGATATTTTTTATATTTATTTGTGACATGATTTTTATTTATTTTTGCTTTAAGCTTGATTATTTCAATAAAAGTTGTTACACAACATATACAAGAATCAACAGACATTCAAGGATCAGGCTATCCTACTTGTTGTGCCGTTGTTGTAACACTAGGTTTATGTTTTGCATGTACATGTAATTTCATATCTCATTAACTACTGATTTTATAGAATCATATTTACTACATGAAATTATCTACTGATTTTATTCATTTGAAATCTTACACACAGCTATCATATCATAATTTTAGGTCACTTTTAAAGACATACATGTGTAACACAGTTTGAAGGGGCCGTGTTAATCCCAGATGTTTTGTTAAATCTTTTAAGGACGTTTGAAATAAAATGTAATGACCTCACATTAATTATTTGGTAGTGTTGCTTACAGATACTGACATGTATTATTTGGTAAAATATATAGTGGGGGATATGAAATGTATATATTCTTTTGTATGTTTTTGGGTAAAGGCACAGTAAGTGAGTTCAGTTCAGAGGAAGGTTTAGGAAGACTTGAAGCCAAATTAGCAAGTAAGATTAGAGAGTTGGAAAAACAGAATCAATACCTGCAAAAGAAACTTAGGTAAATAATATTTGATATTTATATCTTCTTATTTTAAATTATTCTATATTTGAGAAATAAATCATTGTATAATTTATACGATGTTAATGTTAAGTGAATAAACAAATGATAGAGATTTTGATAATTTATTACAAAGGGCATTTATGTGAACTTCTTTAATGTTAATAAGATATCATTGAATTTTCTAATTTAGTTGATTCAAT